TGGTTGAGAACCACTGTACTAGAGCAATATAGTAACATATGTTACCAATGGAGTGGAGGCTCCCTTTCTTTGAGTAACTTTGGCTCACGTTTTAAGTTTACTGAAGGGAACCAGGTTCCCTTTTAAAGCAAATCACTTTTCACCAAATACCTCCTTGCAAAGAACTAGACACCTTTACTGTAAGTTTTGATGTACAAATTGATTACTCCTTAATTTCCTGAACTCTGATATACTGTAGATTATTACATCTGAGAGTTAGCAGTGCATGATGCCAAAGACAAAGTATCTTGAGCTCTTCCTGTTGCTATGGGGTCTATTCACTATGCTGCCGAGGGCAGCCGAGTGAATGACCGATCAGAAGTGAAGTGAGCCGAACACTGTTCGGCTATTCACTTCAGGCTGGTACGGCTGATTTCAGCCGTACATCGGCTGAAATCAGCCGTACATTGGCTTGCTTCGTGTGGCTTCGGATCAGCCGAACATGCTCAGATCCGCCCAGCTGTCAGAAGCAGGATGTCGGCCTTTAGCGCGGCTTGGCCGAGCCGATGCATATGCGATCGGCTCGACAATGATCGGGAGCTGTACGGGGTATTGTGAATAGCCCGTACAGCACCCCCTCGGTTCTACTGAACCGAAGGGGTCCTGGGGCCGAAGCTAGCCGAAGGATCGGCTGAAGCTACGGCCAGATCCTTCGACAGCTTTGTGAATAGACCCCTATGTTTTGATGTAATTTATTAAGATGAAAAGAGTGTAAAAAGATTCTAGTTTGTGATGATTCCTCCCTTTGATCCTTCTTAGGCCTAACTATAAACTACAGTAAACATTTTAGGCATTCTATGTCTAGCTAAACTTCACCTGAACATTATCGTGTCAACTTTAGAATTGGTGGAAAGTAGACAGATGGGTGAGAAACATTACAGAACAAACTGAAAATCCTGATTTGTTAGTACTAGGATAAGTCCCTCTTCTCACCAGTGGCAAGGGTCTGTGACTAAATAATTCTATAATTTTGCATGCAGGCCAAGCATCTGTATCCAAAGTAGTTTATACATCACCCCCCATATTACCCAGCACAGAAAAGGGAGGACAAGCGAGCACCCCCCCCCGCCATACCAGGCCACAAGCCCTCGGCACTAGGAGGGTGCTATTCCAGGGCCCCCACTGGAAAAGCACCTTGTCCCCATGCCGATGGGGACAAGGACCTCTTCCCCACAAGGCCTGTGGTGTTGGTAGTAGGGGGCCTTGGGGGGCTTATTTGCATTGGGGTACCCCTTTAATAAAGGGTCACCCAGATGCACCCTCCCCCTCGTGAATGAGTAACGGGTACTTTTACCCCTACGCATTCACTGAAAGGTTAAACAAATGTAAATAAAGGGACCAGACTTTTGAAAAAAATAATTTGATTCAACATTAAAAAAAAAATCTTTGACAATTCCTTTAATAAAAACAAAATCCCAAAAATGTATCCAACGACATAATCCAGACTCAATCACGGCATCCAGCGTTGTCGACAGCAAAATACATTTTTTAAAATAATAAATAAAAAATCATTACAATCATTACAAAAAAACCTGTTGACCGCCGACCCGTCCGCAATGCGACAAACTTCTGCCGCAGAATGACATTCTGACAGATGCCAGCAAAATAATTATGAACAACTGGGTGGAGCTAGCGGTGACATCACTGCTAGGTCCACCTAACTGTTTACATTTATCCGGCACCTGACAGTCTGCCTGCAGGTCCCGGACAAATCAAAACAAATGAGCGGAGCCAGCTGTGATTTCACAGCTGGCTCCGCCCAGTCGGCATTTATTAACCTGAGGACACTGGCCTGTCATTGATTGACAACAACTGCGTGGAGCCAGCTTTGACATTACGGCTGACTCCGCCCAGTTGTTGTCAGTAGCCGGGAACATGGTCTGCTTCGGCAGACCGCTCTCCACGCTTCAGCTGTCTCTTCAGCTCAGCCGAGCCGGCTGAGCTGCTCGGCTGCCTGTGGCTGAACCGAAGGGCTCCGGCGCTGATGTTTGTGTAATCAGACATGTCCAAATTATCTCTTCCTCTATTTTGCATAGATTAATCAACAGGATCTAATATTTACCCAGGAATGATCTCCTATTTGTGAAATAACCTCATATATTTCACTTTCTAATAAGTAATTTTAAATACAATTCACTAAGTTTCACTGCATTGTTTTGGAAAAATCTTCTTTCTAAACTGTACAATGTATCACATTTATCATTAGTTCATAAAATGTAATCAATATTTGAGGAAACATAAATGAAAAATAGCAACAATTATTTTATTGAGGAAGACTTTTACTCCCTATCTGAAACAATGTCCCAAATCAATAGCACAAGAAAAATAAAATGATCTACACTCTGTAATGTGCAGTCTTGTAGGTACAGCTGTAGCTTCATTACTTGTTATGATTAACTGTGGTTCAGAGCTCTGCCTGCAAACATGCTGGCAAAGGGAGAATCTTGGTAATACTAAACTTATCTCAAGCAAATAGATTTCTCTCTGGGGATTAAAGCTTGTTACGGATGTTCTACACTTGTTTGGCAGTCTGCTGAGAGAAATGGAGTGATAAGAATCTACAGCATAGTTCTGCAGGGTGAAAGCAATTTTACCTCCTGAAATATTTCATTAATTGATAGAATTTAGTTGAAAATATACTATTTAAATAACACATTCAAATTTGTATTATCAAAATCCTTTCTAGGCACCTTAAAAACTTAAAATCTTTTTTAGGCACATGAAAAACTTCAAAATCAAATTCCCAATATTTGTAATAGTACTCAAGTAGGGGTGAGGTTTAGGTTTGCTGCTACCATAGGCTTGTGGAGAATCCTGTGTGTTTAGGGACCTGGCAGAAAATCCTGTATAATAATAAGAGTGTAAATGTGTAGCAAAGAGCAAATCAGTATGCTTTCTTAAAGGCAATGTCCACCTTTTACAAAAAAAATAATAAATGCACACACATTCATTTAAAAAATGTGCATTTATTATATTTTTGCATTGGAGCCTGCAAAGCATTGCTTCCATGGTCAGAGGATCACATGTGTAATGCTCAGGGTCCTGCAGACTGTTCTTCGCACCTCCTATCCTTACTGAGGTATGGACTTTCATTCACTGGTATGGGAGGAAGCATCAATGGACTACAAGTGCATTGATGTCACCACACTTGTTCTCCCTTGAGAACTACAAGACCCTCTACTGTGGTGGCATACAGGACTTGTTGCCTCTCCATTCACAGATCCTGTCAAAGTATCTGTGAATGGATGATGTGGCTGTGCAGGCAATTATTAACCTGCCAGTGCCATAGCATTTTGTCTTATTTGCAAGTATGATGATCTCCTTAACCATAGACATGCTTGTATCAAGTGTTATTTAGAGAGATGGTTGCAGCGTGTGTGTGAGGGGGGTAGTAACTGTAGTGCACTGTATGGAAAAGGCTCACAGATAGTGCACTGTATGGAAGTCCAACACAGTCCAACACAGTCCAACACAGTCCAACGGAAAAAGTAAGTATAATACCTCTTCTCTTGCAGGGAACTTTCAGCTGCATTTTTTTAGGGCCAGACAGGGTCACTTTGAAAAGAAAGTGGGTTTGATTTACCAGAGGAATAGTGACTGTTCACCTAGTTCAGTTGTCAACTTTGGTAAGTGTATCTTCACTTTCCAAATTAAATGTTAGTTAATAAGGTAAAACGGTGTTGATTTTGACTACTCAAATATATGTGAGGAAAATGTAAAAAAGCTGAATTTGTGCTACCATTTTCCCAGGTGGACAGTCTATTCCTTTATTTAATCAACCCTTACAGTGCATTGTAACTATGTAACTATATTGTGTA